TATAATATTTGAGTACAAAAAGATAAATATCTTCAGCTTTCAGTCTATGCATCCTTAATTTAAGATTACCTTTTAAATTCTACAATATTAATTATAGTAGTAATGCATGGTATGGTCATGGTTAACAGTAATTACATAAGGAAAACTAAACATATTCTGAAATTATAGAAAAATAATTACATAAACACAATATTCTAGTTTTCATTTAATTTATTTTTTTCACTGAGGTAAGCCAGATCATATAGTGGACATGTGGCCTGAAGAGCATGCTTAGTATAAACAATTACAAAGAAAGAATTGGATATATAGCAATGACATTTCGAACAAAAACTAGATAATTCCACCAAAAGATATCCTAATCATAGACATTTAGCTCAAGTTGATAAGGCATCAAGGTTTGTACAATTTTTCTTATATTCAAATAACATTTGAAAATGTTGCTATTTTAAGATATAGTATTTGAGTACAAAAAGATAAATATCTTCAGCTTTCATTCTAAACACCCTTAATTTAAGATTACCTTAAAGATTTTACAATATTAAAGTAATGCATGGTAATTACATAAGGAGACTAAGCATATTCTGAAATTATAGAAAAATAATTACATCAACACAATATTCTAGTTTTCATTCATTTATTTTTTTTTTCACTAAGGTAAGCCAGATCATATTCAGAAGCTTAGGTTAATTTTTGTACTTTTGCCAGGGGGATGAGTTGTTTTTGCGCACCTCTAACCACACATTATTGTAGGTTTCCTTTATTCGGGTTTGCAGAGATTTTTCAGTCCTCAGATTATAAGAAATACTTGCTAATTCTGATCTTAATTTTTTCAAGTGCACAGGGAGATCAGTTCTAATCGATTTTCCTTTTGGTAGTTTTTTTTGGCGTACTGATTCCAATATTTTATTCCTGTCTTTGAAGCACACAAATTTAGCTATAATAGAGTTTGGAGAAGAGATTTGGGAACCTGGGAAATAAATACATTTCTTGCACATTTTGGGATTCTAAGTCGGAGACCCGTTGATCCTGAAAATCTATGGATTGTTTTAATTCTTCAATTTCTTGATCGGTCCTTTGCTGATCATTTTTGATGTTGCGTATCTCATGTTTTAAATCTTTGAATGAGTTTTCAAAGATGATCATTTTATCTGATACTTTTTCATCAAAGTTTGCTATGAGTTGTTTAAGATCCGCATTTGTAACATTACAGTCAGTACTCACATGTGATATGGTTTCAGAAGGCAAGTCCTCCTTGTGTTGTAAAATTGCACGTGCATCTTGTTCGGCGCCATCTTTTTTTTTCCTGGTCAGCGGTGTGGTGGTTTTCTGTCATTTTATTACCACTTCTTGTTGATCTTTTACCAGTATTTGGAGTCCTGATTGGGTGTATAGTCTTTTCCATCCTATAACAGGCCCCCTGTTTATGAATAGTTAGAGTTTACGAGCAGATGTTAAGTTGGTCGTGGAGTGCTCTTTCTACCCACGTCTATTCATCGCGGATGTTAAACCGGAAGTCTAGCTTGGCTCTTTACTAAAAGTGGTCGAGTCAACACCGGGCTTGAGAGGGTTTGAAGTTCAAAAAAGTCTTACAGCTATCAGGCAAAGTATCACGGGCCACGTTCGGTGCTCTAGTTTTTCTTTGTATTCGGGTTATTGCCCGATATTTTTTGGGTCGCTGCCCGAAAATTACCCCTACACGACCTGTAAAATCGAGATAAAATATTAGAGCCATATGCAGGGCTCGTACTTTACTAAAGTTTGACTAAAGTTAGACTTACCTTTACGAAAGTGGTGCTTAAATTTGACTATTAAATGTAAAAAATGAAAGCCTTAATCCTAACTTTGTAAAGTTCGACTTTAGTCAAGGTAAGAGCGCTGCATACGGCCCCAAGACTATCGGATCATGCTTTGTCGTATCTCCGTAATGTATCTATGCCAGCGACAAATCGATAAACAATCGTTTTAGCTTTTTACAAATGAACAAATCTGTAACGGAGATGTTACCAAGTACATGTCAATTTCATTTTAATTTATATATCCATCCATGTATAAATTATGCGTATTTAACCATATGCAAAATAGTTTGCAAACAATGCAGAATGCGTGATGTGCCAAAAAATAAATACATAAATAAATATATATAGAATCTTAAACTCGTGATAATGTCATATGAAATTTATGATACGAGCTGGGGTGTAATATTTAATATGGCAAGAATTTCAAAAATCTGATTTGATATAGGCACGAGTGAAAGATTGTTTTGATAACACAACTTTCAAAAAACGCATAATATATATATTCCCTTTGAATTCCATGCATGCACCGTTTCTTTATTAGCGAAGATTGACGTTATTCTGAGGTCAGACTTTTTGAGTATCTTCCCGGGAGGTCACCGTTTTGTTTTCTTTGATGATTTTGGGTAAATGCCGCCAAGAGATTGAGGTGTTAAGACCCCATTAACGGTGACAAAAATTCATGAAAATTGTTCTCATACATTAATTGAAAATTGTTCACCTGCATTAATTACTATTTAACGATGTAACTCACTGTTTTGGCATCTGTGATTAAAATATTGAACTTTATTCACCATTTGATATATATAAAGACGTGTATGTCGAGGGAATGCATATTCATTCAAAATGGCAAACGCACAGCTCGCTGGTCGTTATTTTGGTAGTAAGTGATTACAAGTATCGTATAAATAAAAGGAAGACTGATACTGATGTTTGGAAATGTACTTCCAAAACATGAAATACAACTGCAATCACATCTAACGATATCTTGATAAGAGTAAATGGCGACCACAACAATGAAGATGCTCACTTGGACATGAAGGTAAGAAAGGGTTTATGACTAATAATGTTTTGATACATGCATTTGCATTCAGAAATTAATTTTTTCTCAGTAAAATCATACCTTAAGCCTATTCCAACCTATTCTCGAAGAAATGTCGAGATTGTGAGAGTGGAATGATGACAACGTAGAAATAATCTCATCAATGCCTACATTCTGGTCTAAGAAGAACACCCTTTATCGCTCCAGGCATGTAGTGCTTCCAAAGCTTCTCACCAGTAGAAGTGAACTTGAAATTCCAACTGAGTTTCAACATACGAAATCGGGTGAAATGTTTCTGTGCATCGACGATGGCACTGGTGAATTCTTGGCTTCTCGACAGCACGAAATGTTCATCATTTGGCGAGGGCTGATACTTTTTATGGTGATGAAAGGTAAGAATTGGCTATAACGCGATTAAGTAGGCTTACGTCTGCTAAGATAACGAAAAATAATCCTATTTTTCTCAAAATCCAAATTTTGAAAAAATTCCCGGGACGTCACCGTTTTTCGTTTCTGCAAGGTTAATTATGACCCAAGCGGTGACTTAACATAAACTCCCTCCAACCATTGATTCGTTACGTAGTCGGCTAGTTCTACCAATCTGGGGTCGTTTGGCATTTCACTCATGGCATTGACGTAAACTTCCTCTACCATATTACTTGGTATCATTGGCAAAACTGCACATCTTCAAACAAAACGGATAACTGCGTCATCACCATACTGTCGTTGTAGACCACACTGCTGCATGCGTCTCCATATACACTGTTTATAATGGAAGAAGCGACCTTTCCATTGGGATTCTGCACCTTTTATAAATTATCCTTGCGTAACGAAATAAATAAGACCAACGTAAACACGTCCACTAATTACCTTCAATTTTAACCGATTCACCAACAAAGGATGTCTTGTTGTTTGTTTATATGGCGCATGGATACATGACCTAATTTGCCTAGTTATTTACCTGTGCTTTGAGTTCATGTTGATTTTATGAACCCGTGTTATGAACATGGGTGTGTTATAAAACGCTCTATAAAATCGAAGTGGACGGCGAACTTATATCAAGTATGTTCAGGGTCAATGACTTATGTACCTTGCTCAGGTCATGAATTTTAAACAAACTTTGCTCCGATTGATCTCTCTTTCAGTAAAAACATTTTCATACCCAATCATTTTATTAGTTTGGATATAACATTTATACTTTGTATACATTGTCACTATGAATGAAGTTTTTCACTCATATCTTTATCTGGTTACATGGGATATCAAAGACAATTGACTACATAATTCAGTAGCACAATTAAATATAGTTCCATGTTTAAGTTTGATAGAAATCTTTTAACGCTTATTTGTGGATGGTGGATAAGGGGGTTCTGAAAACCCGAGTTTGCTGGTACATTTATAAATCACTAACACACAGAACTACAATAAAAGAGATACAGATTAAATATATTTTAAAAATAGCACAACAATCTTTTCCGCATATTATATACATATGTGGTCATTAGCCGTGTAAAGTTTAGATATACAAGATTCCTCAAAAAATATTTTAGTCGCCAATGTTAGCGTTACCCATGTCCTTTGGTCCGTCCACAATTAATCGTAAATACTCTGGAAGGCACAACTTTTGACGGATTCTGACGAAAAGTGTTTGTAATCACCCAAAGATGAACCCTATTAAAAATGAAAAATTCGAAAATATTCAGTATGAGTTGTTGCCCTTGTTCTTGACGACTTTTTTTTTTAGCTCGTGGCCATAATTCTTGACCGTTTTTGACGAAACTTGGTGTGACTGTTTATGGTGATCCCTATCGGAAATAAAAAAAATTTAACATGAGTTATTGTTCTTGGAAATATGTGCATTCTTTAGCTTGTAAACACCCTAGAAGGCACAATTCTCGAAACTTTGTGATATTGTTTATTATCACCAACTATAGATGAAAATCAATGATTGAAAAATAAAAGATTAAAGTTACTGACCTGTTCCTAAGAACGTTTTGACAAAATGTATTTGGTGATATTGTTCATTATCACCCCAAAATGTTCTAAAGAAGTGTATAACATTCAATATTTCATACTAGTGATTGTAATTTTTTTTATTCAAGATCAAAGATGCCAGTGGGCGTATGTTACCTTACCTGGCAATCTATCTCAGATACATAAGAATGTCAAAAGACGTAGCCTACCGTGAAAATGAAGATTAAAGAAGAGAGACATGCTGCCCAGCCAAAACCATACTGATCTGTAATAATACCACCAACTGTGGGACCAACAAACGCTCTGAAAGAGATGTAGACTAAATTACAACGAGTAGCTCTATGTTCCTTTAACAACGGTAGATTTTGTCCATATATAGATATGGATAATATCTACCGTTGTACATGGAGGAGCTAAAGACTTCAGACTCTCAATACAAGCTGTTATTTCAGTTAGTTGAAAGGAAGGAAGCAGACTTTTGAGTATCTTAATCAGTTGCCAGTCTCTAGAATTTCTTTTTGGCCCAAATGGTAAAAAGAATTTTACTTACCCCAATGAGTATGCTGAATTATATAAGCCACTTACCATACCAAATGTATCTAAAGATTCTTCATAGCCCAATTGTCTGACAAAGAAAAACAATTTGGAATCCGGGATGGCGGAATCTGGAGGAGCATTTTCTGCTGTTTCCTGCATCCATGTCTAGATATTAAAATGACCATATACTACACATGTTGATACACTCGTAAGGATTTGCCTGGACAGTAAGATATAGTCCACTTCAATAAAATTTGGGCTTTATTGTGAATCGTTACAAGCCAGTAATGATGTTAGGAAAAACTTACTTGGCTCCATTCAGAATTGCCTTAAAGGAAGTGACAAATGCTACACCAACTGTTATACCAAATATAAGTAAAGTGGTAATAATCAACCAAAGTTCATATGGAATAAATGGAAAGAAGGGTGCTGGTCCGAGTAATAAAAACATCAATGCTGAAGATATTGAGCCAACCATCATCATTCCTCCAATCCAACCCTAAAATACCTTAATCCCTGAAGATCTCTCAACAATTAATCAAATTTAAATATTTCATAATTTCAACAAAAGTTTACTTTATAATAGAGTATTACGAATCCTTCCATTATGTAACACAAATATTCTGACGTCTCAAACTGATAAAGAAAAAAACAATTTAAAATTCAATATGTATGAAATTTAGATAGTTACCTTAGAATCCCCGATGTAGCCAAATAACGGTGCTGTTAAACCATACATTCCCGGCGTACATAGAAATATCAATCCAACATAAAAAGAACCTAATTCAAACTGTCAAAAATGAAATGAAATGAATGGAGTTTTACGTCCTACTTCTCTGCACCATGTGGGCTGATGAAGACGGGCAACGCCATGCAGGGTGCAATGAGGGAAATTTTGCCAGGACAGCGGCATTAGCCTGCTCTTTTTCGATTTCCAACTGTCGAGGGATCTTTAACGTGCACAGCCTGTAGCACACGGGGCCTCGGTTTATTGTCCCATCCGAACGACTAGACGCTAGACTGTCTTAGAGAGCTGTATAACATTAAAATTTAATAAACCTTACTTTATCAAGATGAGAGGCTAAGGTTGGATCCATAAAACCTAGAGAGTATGAAGCACTAAAAATTGCTAATCCAGTGACGACAACCAAAGGACTTCTTAGTAATGATAAAACTGATCCTTTGAATGGCAACTTGGATTCTGAAACATATTTAAATCATAAAATCATCAAAACGAAATAAAGTTATTTCTTCTATAATGGCCAGTTTAAAGGACTGATTTATGCACTAATTTCTTTCAGATGATAGAACGATGACTTCCACTTTCAGAATTTGATCTGAACCAATCACACTTACCTTTCGGCGAAGGCATTAAGAACAAAGACACAGTACCACAGGTAATCAAGATACTGCCAAGTACCCAAAATGGTAAACCATATCCACCGAGCTAAAACATGAGTGGCAGAACTTAGATAAATCTTGATAATGTGACGAATTCTCTAATTATAGCATAATGATGTTACTCGCACCATATTGTTAGTAAATCACATAAGTAGCTTTTCGTGAACTTAAAATGTTATAATTCATTTAGAAAGTCTTGAACAATAAAGGTATACATTCAGATAATTTTTGCTTATTTCTACATATAAGGAGCAAACCCATAGTATACTATGTAACCCATAGTATACTGTACGAAAATCAACTTCCAATTTAATAATGAAAATAATTATCTGTAGGCCGACTGATTTGCAATTTAAATGAAATGAAAATGTTTCAATGGTAAATTTGGTTATGATAAATAAATGTTAGTGAATTAATCTACCTCATAAAGAGCCCCACCGATAGGGGGTCCAAGCATCAAACCTAAACCAGTAAATGTCTCCAACGCACCCTAGAAAGATAACTTACATTAATATACTTATATCAGTATTTCCATCCGAAAGTTAAACACCTGAATAAGATCGGACATTGACTAAACTATGATTACCTTCATATTTTTATTCATTAAATGTAAAACTTTGTTTTAAATGAGAATTTATGTGATGACTGTAATAATTCAGATATTACATCAATTTAGAACTAAAAAAATGGCTGTATATTGATATTTTAGTTTGAAACTTTCTTTAACATTTGTTGTGACAATCAAATCATATTGCCAGATAAAGTGATTTTTAGAAAATGTCGAAAGCACAACAACCATTCTTTGCCATTTTTGTCTACAGCATATAAATGAGATACTTACAAAAACTGTAGCGACATGATTTGGGAATTCAAAAGCCATTATTGCGAAACTTGCTGTGATGAACATGGAAGTTCCTAAAGCTTCAATGGTTCTGCACAAAAAACACATCGCTATAAATATGTCACCTGGTGGGCACTTATCTAAAACTCTGAAATAAGAGGGGTAATTCCATCTCAAAAAATCAATTTAACCATCTTTCACCGCAGACCCTCTTCCATTATTTTCTTTTTGAGTGGTTGCTGGTGAAAAATGAAGATTTGATCTTTTTACGACAGTGATCTCAATTTTACCGCGTTAACACGTTATGACAAGAAAAAGACCTTTAAAGTGATAAATTCTAGTAATTTAAACATCCTACGAGATTTAAAACATTGTTCAAAGGATAACTTTTTGCTGCAAAATCCAAATCAGGTATCCGAAAGACTGAATTAGTTTACTTTCTGGAATAATTGGCTTTAAAAATGCAATTATGTTCACAAGGACTAAGTTTTGTGGGGTCATGCATAATTCTTTGTATATAGGGATTTGCAACTCTAAATTTTGCAATATTTCGTTGGCAGGCGAATCAAAATCAAATCATCGTGAATGTCAGAAACATTTACAATATACGTACCCAAATAATATAGAACAGCATCCACAAACAAAAACACCAGATATAAACATAAACTTGGCTCCAATCTTGGTCAGCTGAAAAATATAAATGATAAATACTGATATCATATCGGGATATCTTTCGAACGATACCAGTGTTTTCTAGAGTCTTGGCTCTACTAACCGACCACCATAGCATTAAATCATGGGATAGAAATTTAAATCTTCTATTGTGATAATTAAATATACTTACAAAGAATCCTAATATAGGGGAGGTAATAAAAATAATAAGTTGAAAGCAACTGAATATTAATCCAACTGTTGTTTCTGATGCAGATTTCTTCTTTGCCTGAAATAATGAAGCCTCTGTTGACGCATCCGAAGATTAGACCAGTCGAGAGTTATGGAATGTACAGGACGGGTTCTCAACAGTAAAAGTGTTACAGCGATATTCTGTTTTTAAATTCACATTCATGTACATGGTAAATAAACATGAAAACCAGACTCACCTCCCCTGGAAAAAATGGAGCTAGTAGAGAAAAGCAAATGAAGGCAGAGAAATTTACCATTCCAATTACAATAAAAACAACCTTCTTTCTTCCGCTAAGTCTTCGAATAGAAAACTCTTCCGCTGTTTTTGGTAGTAAAGCAGAAGCTGTTCCATTTTCATGAGGTGAAGAAATTGTGTCATATGTTCCGTTCCCTGGACCAACGTTTCCGTTCGAGGGCAATAAAGTTGTTTTTTCATCATCTCCATATTCTATATCCATTCTACCAATGAACTGATTGGTCCCCTTGATTCTAAATCAGACAATAGAAATTCATTATTGGTTTTACCAGACTTTAGAGTATATTTTTAGTTTTAATTTGATAGCATATTTCAGCAGAAAAAACCTCAGCTGGTTCAAATCCGATAGAGACCATAAAACACCCCGGCGAGTCTGACACAATGTTGAAAACGGTTCTCTATCCCAAAAACTACGATTCAGTTTCGGGATGGATTCCCGATGTCGGTGACGGAGAAGTTTTAAAAGAACCGGTCAGAACTGTAGCAAATGACGCAGACCTTGCTAGGATAAGGGTAGTTGCTAGAAACACACTGGAAAGAGTGACTCGCGGAGTAAATCACGGATTTGAAAAACGAGCGCTTCAATACAACAATGTCGTCGAGAACAACAGATGGGGTAATTACGTAAATTGGAAGTTGTATCCTTTATTTGGTCTCTTGGAACACAGAAAGGTTTCCATAGGTTTACCGTATAAAATTCATTTGCAAAGAGAAATCAACGACAACAAGATATTCTTTGGTGAAAACAACTCTGACGCAAAATTGGAAATAACGAATATCCAACTTTACAGACCGGTAATCACTCCTTCTGTAGAAGTGGAAACGAGAATATTCAACTCTTTAACCAAAGACATCGAAATTGCTTTTCTTCGTCGTAACACGGTAGGTAGCATGACTTTAACGGGAGAATCCACCACGTGGCCAATCACCAACACCGTGAAACCAGCGAGATATCTAATGGTCGGTTTCAAAAACTTGCCAGACTCTCAGACAAACAACAACAACATTTTCAGAGTGGCATTGAACGATACTCAAGATCCAATCATTCGCAAAGTTCAAGTCAGATTGAACAACGATAATTATCCTAATCAACCTTTGACAAAAACACAAGGAGATGTAACAGGTTATTGTTTATTGCTGGAAGAAGCAAAACATTTAATTAAAATAGCAGATAGAAGAATGATAAGAATTGAATAATAAAACACCCTTTAAAAATGAAACCAGAAACTTTAGTTATGAAAATAATAGAAGCTATGGAAACGAATTCGCCGACTCTAATAACTTACAACGGTAAAAAAGTGCATATAACCCAAAAGATTATCGATAAATACAAACATTGCAAAGTCAGAGACGATATAGACTTGGAAAGAATTGATGAGAATTTAACTAAAAAAGGTGGATTTTTACCTTTCTTACCTTTAATCTTTGCTGGTTTAGCTGCAGCTGGTGCAATTGCTTGTGGTGCTGCTGGGATAGCCAAAGCTGTCAACGATAAGAAAGCTGAAGCCGCTGCAAACGCCGAAGCACGTAGACACAATTTGGCAATGGAAAGAGAAGCACGAGGAGGTTCGGGAGTAGGAGATATATTAGGGACGGTTAAAGAATTCGGACAAAGATTTGGCGAAGAAACCAAGAAAACCGTTAAAGAGGGATTAAGCAAATTAATAGATAAAATCGACACCGGAGAAATGAAGGTCAAACACAAGGGCGACGCCATATTTTTTAAAAACATACGTTCGGGCGAGGGAATCTTCCTTTCAAAGTATAAAGGCAACGGGGTGATTTTTGGTACGAAAATGTAATAAATAAAAATGGGCAAAAAATTTAATCATTCAGAAATATTTCCTAATAACCCAATGCTCATGTGTATATGCGGTAGTTCAGGTTCTGGGAAAACTCGTCTCACTTTTAACATGTTGACAACACCAAACCTTTTAGATTTCGATTCTCAGTATATCTACACAACAACACCAGAGCAATCGTATTATCAATTCCTCAAAGCTTTGGAATATTTACCAAAGAAAGATGTTCAAGACATATTTCAATATTACGAAGAAGAAGAAGTGGAAATAAAAGATATCATAGAAAACTTCATTAAATCAAAGAATCCATCTTTCAATCCAACGGATATAAAAGTTTTTCTTACGAAAAATGTTAATGATCTAGACTTGTCTAATATTGATAGCAATCGAAAGAACTTAATATTGTTTGACGACTGCGTAGCGCAAAGAAATCAAACTGTTCAACAAGAATTCTTCACCAAAGGAAGACATCACAACTGTCACTGCATATACCAATCCCAATCTTTTTACGGGATGGATTCTATGTTCATTAGAAAAAATGCAAATTGTTTTTATTATTTGAATTAAACGATAAAGATTAATCTCAAATCATTCAGTCTATAAATCACGGAATGGACAGAGATACATTTAAAAAAGTTTGTAAAGCTCAATGGAGAAACCCAGATGATCATGGATATGTATTTGTAAATACTAGAAAACCTGCGGGAGAAAGAGTTATGATCGATATATGTTAATTTTATTTTTTTAAAAATGACGGATTGGAATAATTTTTTAAAAAGAAATAGAGAATATATCAAAGCTAAGAATAAAATAAAGACCCAAGTTGAAAATAACAGATTACAACAACTCGGATTAACGGAAAATCTACAGACTCCATTTCAACCCATATTAAAAAGTCAAGAAGATATTAAAAAGAGACTCGCTATAGAACCCACGCCTCCTATAGAACCCAAACCGATTGAATATAATGGTATTATAATTAGGGAATTAGTTGATATAAAACGTCTTTTTTCAAACCCTGACCCAGATTTACCAAAGAGCATTTCACCAATCGTTGATAATCAAGGTTTATTGTTTAATGGATTTAGAATTATATTTAGTGGAAATTCACCACAATTCAAAATCGACACAAAAGACTTTATATTTAAATTAACGAGAGGGTTAATAGATTTAATGAATGGCGAGGATTTTGAAATTGCCGATTACAAGGATTTAGTTGCATACTCAAAATTTCTACATGCGATCAAAAAGTCAGGACCCGAAACAAGAAGATTGAAAGAAGTTGATTTTTATACAACAAAAGTTATTGAGGAATCAGATGATTATGCAGAAGATTATCCACCAATCATACAAGAAATAGACGAATTCGATGATATGGTGGCATCTGGTCAAGGTATAACGTTTTTATCCGACGACAATAAAGAATTGCTTAATAGATTAGAAATAATATTAGCGGCCATGAAAGAAGGTCATTGATCAGACAGACAATACAACGAAGTCAATGCCATATTAAAACGGCTTTTGGAGAAAAAAATCATCACTAAAAAAGACTATATAAACGTCATTAAAAATGTCCAATAAAGAACATTTGTTCGTTATCACCTCGAATAAACCAGACATCAAATTGTCTCTAGACTACGAGTATGAACTCGATCGCAATAAACAGTACGAACTGGGATTAAAGTATTTCTCCGTTTACAATTCCATTAGAAACATCAACGAAAAAAACAATCAACTAAAAATATCGACGGATAACGGAGTTACGTTCGAAACCATAAGCTTACTACCGGGGAGCTACGAATACGTAGCCATCAACGAATACCTATCCGAATACGCAGGAAGCGTGAACGGCAAAAACAATATCGAATTCGAAGGTAATCTGAATCTGAACAAAATAAAACTGATCTTGAGAAATAACAGTCATGTCGATTTCAACATAGAAAATTCGTTGAATGCGTTACTAGGGTTCGATAAACGAATATACGCTCAATCGACATTGGCGCCGCACAAGGCCAACATTGAGAACGATATCGACGTGATCAACATTCACTGTAATTTGATCAACGGTGGATTTTTCAACAAGCACAAACGCCAAATCATATACAGCATACCGACTTTTACGGTGCCGATCGGATACAGAATTATAGAGAAACCGTTTCAAACGACCTATTTACCAGTCAATTCTTTCATGATCAAAGATATAAATCTGGAAATCAAAGACGGTAAAAACAGGTTCATAGACGAAGAAATTGTCATTCAACTTCATTTAAAACAATCTTCATTCTCTTCTTGATTAGAAAGATAATCGAAATCATCAAATTCATAGTTTTCGTCAAAACTATACTCATCTTTGTCGTTGTAAGGATACATAATTCCTTCACTGTTTGGTGGTTTTCTTTTAACATTATTCAAATAACTTCTAAAAACTTTAGTTTGTTTATCATTTGGAATAACTACTCCATTGGTGAAACTTTTTTCCCATGGTTTATTAAATTCGTTCGACACATCATGTCCGCTTGCTAACTGAACGTAATCTTCTACACTTATCTTATCATTAGAATAACCTTTAAACGTTTTCTTTTCTTTTAAAACACCGTCAGAAGTCAAAACGATGTTGTATTTGACTTTTGGTGCTAAATATAAACCAAATATAATTCCACCGTCACCGTAATCGTTTTTACCTTTGCAATAGTCTTTTTCGGAGACCAAACCAGCTCTGTTTAGTTTTTTCCAATTTTTGGATGAAATGTACAAACTATCGGTGTCGGTATAGTATATTTCGGGTTTATAAAATCCATTTATGACGTGAATGAAATTGTTCATTATTTTTTTACTGTGAGATAAAACGAATGATCCCAAATGACTAGGTGTTAGTCGTGTAGATTTTCTATCTTCGGTAGTAATCTCTTTTTCTTCAATTTCCGTTTCAACAATATATTGAGTATCATTAATTTTCTCATAGGTTTTAACGCGTGAATCAAAGTTGGCCTGTAAAGTTGCTTCATTCCATAAATGTCTAGTTGTGAATATATCTTTCTGAATTGATTTACCATACAAGGAATTACCTAATAATTTCATGCAATTACTACCCACGATATTACCTTCTCGTTTATATTTATTTCTTAAATCTCTCAAAATTAAAATATAATCTCTATAGGGTGGAGTTTTAAAATTTTCTTCGTAAACTATACCATCTAATATTCTAATAATTCGTCCACCGGCTTTCACTATTTCTTGAATATCGACCGGTGTTAAAATGTCGTGACAGAAACCATTTCTGAACCCGATTTTGTTACCCGTTTCCTTTTTACCTTCTTTATTCGTGAAAGTGATTTTATCTTTAGCTGGTATCGGTTGGAAGAACATGTTTTTGGGATAGTCAAACCACACTGTTAAAATAGCTGTTCTAGGTCTGAATTTTTGTTTATTGAAGAGTTTTACAAATTCTTTTTCTTCTTCTGGTAGAAACGGTCTTCCACTTTCCGCTCTCGGATATTCACTGTCTAAATCGGACATGGCGGAAGCGTATAAACCGTTAGCATCAAATGCCATTAGTTTAGTACATTCTATTTTTTTAAGTCTCGAATGAACCACCGTTTTGTCTTTTGTGCTTGCACTATATTCTTTGAATAAATCAATTATGTTATTACTTTCTGTTTGTGAAATATATTCCTTTAATACGTTACAAATTTCATCCATTTTGTTCGTTTCAAATGATTTTCTATTTGCCGAAACTCTTCCTCCTTTAATAGATCGTCTGATAAAATTTCTTATAAAAGGATTAGTGTGCGAATAAACTTTTTCTATATTTTCTTTTTCGTATGTTTCGCAACCATTCTAGTAGTTTCATACCATTCTTCTTCCACCATTTCTTTATCGTAATGATATAAATAATACCAACCCTTTAAAGATAAAGATGGAGCCGTTAGATTATTGGACATATTTTGGTTTACAAAATTGGTTGTATTTTATCAAACAAGCTCCCAAACAGAGAGTGTCTCTCTTGGCGTAAGGTTCCCATTCGTGTCTCAATTCCTCCCAGTTGTCTCGCGTGTATTTAGCAATATCTACGTCGGCAATCTTTCTCAAATTCGCGGGGAGATTGGAAGAATTTCCCCATGCAGCCAAACTAGAGGATTCGTGTTGATAGAAACACGTGAAATTTATATGTTGTAAATAATTACCCTTTATTTCTTTCTGTCTTTTCCATTTTTTCTGTAAATCTTCATCCGTGTATGGATTAGATAAAGGAAAAGATAGAATTCCTCTGGGTGTTTTTAAAGGGTAATGCGTTAGTTTTTTTGCATTTTTAAGCACGATCCAGTTGTCGAATCCACTGCCGTTATGAGAAATTAATGTTAATCTCTTTCTATCATATTGACCTAAATATTTCAACATTTGATCGATGCAATCTGTACCTACAAATATTTCTACTACATTCATTAGTTTATCATAAAATTCTTCTGGAATGGGATCTGTAGGCTTTAAATCTGGAAATAGATTATTTATTCTGTTTAATATTTTCCTTAGTTTTTCTAAATTAATTAAAGTGCAACAATATGGAATTGCTCTTCGCGTGTCTTTTTCTGAATACGTTTCGCAATCCCAAGCGAATAAAGCATCATCGCTCATACTCGAAAGCACGTTTAGTTTGAGGGGTGAAACCTGTGTTACTGCGTTGTCGTCTCTACACGTTTTCCACACCTGTTCGTAATTGTCTTCTATTCTTGAATTCCCAAACTTTTTTGGCTTCTTCTAATCAAACAGAAATGCGAGTTGTGTAAGTACAAAACCCAATCTAATTCATCGTGAACGTCTCTGGGGTGAAAATGTCTGTTTTTGGGATTATAAATTTGAAACGAAGTGTTGAATTTCTTGTTGAATTCATTCATTCTAGCACAAGTCATCACTCCTTTTCTATTTGCTTTTGAAAACCCGTTGATGTATTCTTGAAATTTACACGTTAAATCTTTGTTCAAAACACGATTGACGCATTTGATAAAACAGTGACCATCTGTAGGTATGTAACAGTTTTCGCCTTCGTATTCATTGATCTTTTTAAGTAGATCAGTTCCTCCTCTACCAACTCTCGGTCTTTTTATTTCTTGGAAATTGTCTTTCATTAAAATTATTTTTCCTGTAAAATACCAATCGGAAGCATCGGATTTTTTATCCATATTTGAAAAGATATTGTGAAAAGTTTTGGCATTGAAACCGAGGAGTGACATGTATTGTCTGTGATTCCCTTACTCGACTATCTCTCCATCTATTTTAATTTGTCCTTTGAATGTTTTAAATTTATCAGAGATAGACTTGATAACATCGGAAAATAGGGCGTTTTCTATCAATGTTTCATCAAGTTCGATTTTAATCATATTTTTTTAAGTATATATTTTTGATTATTTCTTTATTTTGACCGCTGATATTTCTGTATGGAATTTGTCCAAAATTTCATTGAATTCTTGTAATTCTTCAACTGTTATGTTCTTGTCTTCTCTCGATCTTTCGAAAAAGATGTACAATTGATTAAGATACATATTCAAGATATCCGTTTTCTTTTTATAATGAGCTTTCTTTTTGCTCGTGAAACCAAAAGTGATGAGACCGCAAGAAGTCGTTTGAACGGCTGTTAATGCAGCCAATACGGTTGGAATGATGACCGGAAGCATTAATCCACCAGTCACGGCCGTTGCCACCGTTACTCCTACCGTTAGAACTGTGCTCGCTGTTTTGAAAACAGAATCGATTCTACACCATGTTTTCCTGCATGAATTGTACTGTCTCAACTTTATTTTCAACTCTTCTTGTTTGTCTATCATGTATTGTTGTCTGCTTTCGAGTTCCATATTTTAAGTCGTTAAATTAAGTGAATTTCCGATAGATAGAACCACGGTATATCAAATAGAGCGAAGTCGTTTGGCCTAGCATTATTATTAAAATTTCGGGTATTAAAAGTAAAAACATTTACGCGTCCTAACGACATTTCTTTTTTCGTATGTCCTCGTAAGA